CTCCTTCTCCTGCAGTCAGCGCTCATCTGACCTCTCAGCGGGCTGACTCAGTCTGCTAAATTGGCAGAAAACTAGTCAGGCCAAATATGGAGGAGAAGAAAAAAAAATCTGCTCAGTAAGATGAAGTGGGTGCAAGATATCAAACAAGCACCAGCACTGATGTAAAATGTGTGCAGGGAGGAACGAGAGGAAAGGGAAGCAGAGAAGTCTGGGGGCAGGCTGAGACTCTCCTTTTGCACAGCAAAAAGTATTCACCTTAGCCATCTCTCACATCTGTGATTTCACAGATGCTGACATAAACATAGCCTACAGGTTAAAAAAGTCCTGCTTTTTGTCCCAGCCATGCACTTGTGACACACCCTTGAGTATCAAAACAAAGAATGGCTGTTTGATCTGTTATGGAACAACTATGGGAGCTATAGGTAGGTGAGGTTGGAGAGAACGGACAGGTCACCTTTAGACGTTTGCTCAAAGCCAACACGCAGTTGTGGAACTGCCACCAGAAGTGGCACAATAATAATTAAAATAGTCTCTATTTGGAAAGGGAATGGGATGAACAATCAGTGCAATGTATTAAATGCTGGTGAGGTTTCTCCCACAACCTAAGAGCAAGAGCTCTGTGTAGGATGGATATAATGGAGGGGAAAAAAAAAAGATAGCTAAAAAAAGTCATAATACATGAACAGAACCAAGATAAAACAAAACTTAAAGATTTACTGGTATAGCCTCTAAAGTATTCTTATCCTCTTCAGGGAGGATAAAAAGTAAATATCAAGGTCTATAAAAATTTAGCTTAGCTATGCTGAACTGTGAAACAGTTTGAGCTACAATCAGAACAGCTACAACTGCAGTCAGATTTATAGACATATCCTACTGAAACTTAATACATATCCTCAGAAATCAGATCAACTTAACCGTGAGCTGAAAATCTCTGCCGAAAGGCAAGACGCAAGAAGTATCATTGTTAAAAAAAATCATTTAGAATAAAAATTAAGTAGTTTGATATACTGCCTTCTTAGCAGCTTTAACAGCAACTCACGCCAGCTGAGACATCACAGCTTTTTAAAGACATCTGACATGCTAACATCCGAATTCCTTTTTCCTGTCAGTTGCGATGTCTTTTCTCTCTGGCAAAGAATTTTTTTTTTCCTGCAATGCAACCACTTTAAAATAAGATAACAGGATTCTTTTAAAAAAAAAAATCACCTGTAACTTCTTTTAAATAATTGTATAAATAATTGGTCAGTTCTCATCTCTCTTTGGAATCTTGTTATGCTGTTTTTAATTTCAGTATAAATATTAATCTACTTGAAGCAAAGCTACAAAAGTTGATATTGTTTTTATCTCACAGTCCAGTATGTAAAATTAAAGTTGCAGTGAGGGAAATGCATTAATCCATAATGCATAATAAATTATTAAAGACAGCCAAGTGAAATATAACATGCACTGACCGTAAAAAAAAAAAAATCATAGTTAGGAGTATCTGCTTTCCATACAAGTCAACAGGACTCAAAATGTAAGACTACATATTGTCATCTGAAGCCGGTATTTGAAGACAGATTTAATGCATTAATAACAGAGTGACCTGCCTGCTTAATCAGAGGTTATGTGAGAAATTCTGCAGGCTACATTAGAGAGGTCAGATTAGACAACAACGGTTCCATTGTGGGTGCTGAAAGAGATTAGTGCAAAGCGCAAGACTAATAACAAAACACACTTCCTATATTTCCATAACAGAACTGCTTATTTATTAAGAGGTACGGTCTTATGCATGGGCTTACGCACTCTGCATTACACTGAGGGTTACACAAAGCATTTCCTTTTGCCTGTAATGCTTTCCCTAAAGCTGTACAATGTTCTGAGTGACTACTCTTTGCTTGGGACTTACTGCAGCTTCAGAGTTAACAATAGTCAAGAAATACTACGGTGTGATGGCACAACTTGAAATATTTTATGAAAACAGACTAGCATTAAAGGCAAAAAACCAAGAACTTTATCCTGCATGACTAAGTTTCATTGGAAGGTTCACACAGTGACCTTATAGACCTTCTAGCTGTAAAGTTATTACTTAGCCAAAGACTTCTTAAACTCTTACCCTAGAGAACGTGGGATAGGAAGAGTCATGTTAGACGGTAGCACTGACCAAAAGAGAACTAGGTTATACACATTTACAGCTTTTTTGTGGTTCACTAAATGAGCTTTCTCAAGTTTTCCTGATACATTATTAAAAAACCCAAAACAATAAACCTAAAAAACCCAGCTTGTTGTATCATTTCTTAATGCAAGCCCGTTACTTCACATAGCCTCTTTAGGGCTGTATTAGTTTTCTCCATCTTTAACTGTAACACGTTATTTAAACAATTACTCCTTAGTCCTTTTCTCTAAGGAACTGCAATCATCACTTCTGAATTTTTCCTTTAATATCTTGATAGTGATTATATAATAAGAGACGAGTCAATGTTACATACAGAAATTGTACTAAAGCAGTACAAAAAACCTGTTTACTTTCCTACAGCATACTCACACATGCAGCTTTATTTCATATTGCCCTTTTCCCTGAAGCCCAGAAGAAATAAAGCACTAAAACCACATGCTGTTTATATGCCACCATTTAACTCCTAACTGCTTCCCAGGTTTCTCATGCAAATCTTTAAATGCATTTTGAATTACCTCTCCTGAGGCAAGACCTCCCTCCCCCTAACTTCAGGTTTTATTAATTCTCTTAGTTTTCCGATTATTAGCCAAGCCTGTTCTCAACCACCACCCTGCATAGCTCTGCATATCACAATCCCTAACCTTGGTGCTCCTCTGCTCTTCTCCACTCCCTTAACCTCAGCACCTTCTAATCCCTTCCACTTCCCCACCTCCACAGGGAAACCAGCTACAACGCATGTGCCTTCAGCCTTGAGCTTTTACGCCAAGCACCAGCTGGAAAGCAAATGTTGCCTAGACCGCTAAATGTTTATTCCAAATAGATATGGATTAAATTTTTTCCATCTTGCCTTCAATTTGGACATTAACAAAGATTCTCTCTTCTCTCCAGCCACTGCATTTTCATCAGGCTTGCAAGAATGTTGATATTATTACTATCATAGCAAGTTTGCCTGAAATTTGTAAACAGGCTTCAGAATTTTTTAGGGAGAAAAGAGTGTAACAATCAGATAGCTGTCCATTCACCGAGAAACAGGGCTGGGGCTTGGGCCAGGAAGGAGATCATCTTTCTGAAACTCACGGTATCTTTATCAGTAGAGCGAGAACAAAAGGGGAGAAAAAAAGGTAAACACTAACCCAAAATGCAAAGGATTCCATCAGGTTGAGATTTGCTGCTCTGTGTCAGGATACTCTGAATGTTTCGAAGGCGGCTGCAGCTGCAAAAGAAAGAGAATTTGTCCTTAAGGTCAGTGTTTTGAAGTACTCAGATCTGGTAGGCTAAAGAGTTGACCTAGCTTTTTTTCTTTATTATATAAGCTAATTGGACACACTTCAACTTGGGTACCTTTTATATAAAATACATTTAGACCTCACACCAAACCATCCCCAGATTATTTATTTCTGTCCACTAAATGATGAAGTACACAGCCCTGAGAGAAGACTAGAAGCCAAGACTATCCCTTCCAACCAAGTGCCCTGTTAACCTCTAGCAAAAATTTCTGTTCAAGTTTCCTCTCACTAAGCCAGCAACGCTCCGTTCTCTACCAGAGAAGTAGATAGCAAAGCAACATGGGGCAGGTGATGCCCAAGTAGAAAGATGACAAGGGAAGGGACCACAGGAGCTCCTACACCCCAAGGGGAGTTTGCCAAAGAGGAGTTTCAGCACCTCCAGCACCATCAGACTGCTTTCACCCTGTGTAACTACGTAACACGGACACATCCCAGACCTCCTACAAGATGAAAGGGAAAAGCACGATATTGGCGTAGGGGAGAAGGGCAGAAGGCACAGAGAACTTTGCCTCCACTCGCAAACCTGCAGGGTCTCATCCATGTCCTCGGTTAATAAAGCAGGAGTGTCATACTATCTGCAGTGTCCCAGTGATGCTTTTGCTTACCAGTATCACGAAGACTCAAATGGGTCACCCTGTCGTTATTATAAGCCCATACTTAAGCAGAAATGCAGAACCAAGGCAACTTTCAGACAGAAAAGAGAAAGTAATTTTAGGGAGCACTCAGAGACAGCTCCTGACCAGGGGATTTGCTCTTACTATTTAAGCTTCAGGTACTACAGTTCTTCCTCGCATCTTGCATTACTCTCTAGAATTTTATTTAGTCCATAATGGAAAAATACAGAGCCAATACTCTCATTTAATAAAACAAAAGCTGGACTCCAGAAGAGTGTCACTTTTTAAGAAAGATCTTTTTCTTTCTGCAAGACAAATTAACCAACTGAACTTACACTAGCGGGTTTCCAGCCAGAAAGTAAATGAAAATTACTTCATGCAATCATAAAAGTAGGAACTTTTTCCCCTCTATACCCGAAAAAATATCTAGATCATTTTCAAAAGATGCATGCTACCTCTCTCATGACTTCTGTATTAAAACCATGAAATTTTTTAAAAAATGAACAGTTAGGGAAAATTGTAAGCCTTAAGTATAAGACATAAGGAAGAAATTCTTCCCGGTGAGGCAGTGGCAGAGGTTGCCCAGAGAAACTGTGGCTGCCCCATCCCTGGAAGTGTTGAAGGCCAGGTTGGATGGGGCTGTGAGCAACCTGGTCTGGTGGGAGGTGTCCCTGCCCATGGCAGGGGGTTGGAACAAGATGGGCTTTAAGGTGCCTGCCAACCCAAACCATTCTGTGATTCTATGATAATGTTTGATAAGCTACATTAAAAAGAAATGAACCAATACCAAGTCTTTCCAAGATTTTCATAATCAAAATGAATTATTACATAAAGTTTAGCCAGGTAAAAAATTCAGCTACAAGAGCCAGACAGAGCAACGTAATTAGTGCTTCTAGGCAAAATTTTATGATCTTGTTTTAATACAGACAGAAGGCAAGAAATTTCACTGCTGATATTACTGAATGTGTTTTGTTTACAGTCTTGTTTACATAACTATGAGCTGTTAGGAAACAAATGCATCTTAAAGAAACACTTAAACAGAGCTAAACTTATGACCAGCTCAAACAAACAAGAAAGTAAGGTCAAGCATTTCTATTTTCATAGTTACTTAAGCCAAGTAAAAAGATCTTTTCAGTAATACTACAAATATCATGCTCTACTTTCTCTGAAAGACAGAATGAGCACAAAAGGTTTATATTATAGCTAATCTAAGTGCAATTTAAACATCCAGAGTAAAAGGAGAGGCAACATTTGAGGATACTTTCATAGGAAGTACAAAACCAGGGCAAACCACTCCAGTTTTGGGTTTTTTCCCATTTTTAGGTTGCCTATTTGAGTTCCAAATCCGTCAATTATTCTTTTTGCCTGAAACTTTCCAATTCACATTATATGCTGCACGGTATCACAGTCCACTCTAGGTATGAACAGGTATTTTGATCCAGTCTTAGATACAGAAACCGAACTTACAGCCACTGATGACAGCAAAAAGACACCTAATCAGGTACTACCAGATGTTGTTGTCCATATAAGTGATGCTATGAAGCCCCTGAAAGAAACACTGAACTTCATGCTGCACATTTCAGCAACTTCTAATCCTCAGTTCTTTAAAACCTAACCTAAAACAATCTCACAGCCATCCAAATTTAAGGTTTTGTATCTTATCCTGAAAGATTTTCATCCCATCATTAAACAGGACCCCACACTAGCTACGTGAGAGATGATCCACTACAGCAAGCTATACAGTGCTCGTATTTTTATACTTCCCACATCACAAGATCAAGAGTAGAAAAAATTGCTGGACTATTCATTGTGGGTGTAACAAATTTGACATTTGTTAGAAAGCAAACAAGCCTACAGTTATTTAACGGCCAGCTGCAAGCAAGTTGAACTACTAGAGCCTCTGTAAAACACAAGAAAATGAAAGCAACTTTATGTACAGACGGGGCCCACATGAAAACAAAAATGCTTCTCCATCTATCTGTTGTGAGAAAAGGACGGTTTAAGAGAAACCCATGCTTCCTGAGACTATCTGAAGGACGGACTGAAAGGACTGTGAGAAAGCATGCCCAAGGACTTCTGCAGTAACACAACAGGCAGCTTCCAGACTGACTTTTATTAAAACATTTACCATATCAGAGGATGCATCTTCTTGCATCTGCTCAGAGTGAGAAAAGGAACTGTCATGAGAAAAAATATTATGAATGCTTCCAATCTGAAGGCACAAGAGGTAGATTTTAATTCAACTCCTCTCAGAAGCAAGATGCAAAATCCCTCTATCACTCATGTTCAACTTCTACTCTCAAGGCAAATTTAAGTAACTCTCCAGCCAAAGACAGGTTTTTCTGGATCGTAAAACATGTTCAAAACCTCTTATGTCCTATAAACACAGCATGAATACATAACTTGAATTTGCTATCATTTTTCCCCCCTATAGTGATCACTTTTAAAAGAAAGGAACAGTTAGAACTCAATTTGACAAAGAACTCCCTGTAAGAAACTCATAGGTTTAGGGAAAGATGCTCCCATTTATTAAAAAACATTATTATATAATACAAGGTAAGTTATTCCTGAGATCTTTAAGTTTTAATTTCACACAAACAGCTTCAACAAAAGGGAGACCTGATCAAATATGTTTATCATTTAAAGGAAAAAGTAGTGTTACGAGCCTGTGCAACGAGACCAAAGCAGAGCAAAGTGACATACACCATATTTTTGTCTTCTTGAGCTCTGTGAAAATATTTTCTGATCTGTTCAAGTAAACTGCGGTGGGGGGAAAATGGGAGTAGGAACTGGAGGAGGAAAGTACTTGCATGTTTGTTCTGGGTTGGGTACTTCTTTCCCTCCTTAAGTTTTGATTTAGGGTTAGGAATTTTACTCTCCTAGAATTACTTTCAGCATCTTTCACAGAAATTGTAACTTTGGTGCACTCCTTAAAAATACATAAAGTTCTCAGATTAAGCTGCTAACAAATTTTTGCCAAGTAAAATTGAATGTCCTCCTTCCTGCAAGAGACAGTCCTGGAATAAAAGAAAAAAAAAAGTGTAGGGCAAACTGTATGTTCATTATTTCATAATGAGATGTATGACCATGAAGATGTTTATTTCAATCTTAATATTAAAGAGTCTTCAGCAGAATATTTTTCCTTGCCTCATTTAAAGAAGTGGTTTCTATGAAAGCAATCTTTGAAAAAACTTCTTCACAGAAGTATTTTCAACGTCATTTCAAGTGTGTATAAATCATTACATTCAAAGGCTGACATTAAAAACAGAAGACTTCTGTGTCTGAAGAAAGACGTTATTCAGAAATACTGAAGAGAATAATTAGAATTCTTACTACATGCTTTTAAACAATACAGCCTAAACTGTGTATAAAGTCAGAGAAAAAAAAAATGGCATTTTCTTGCATTTCACATTAAACAGTCATCTGACAAAAACAAAGGAACTGTCCTGGGAACAAAACTCCGCGACTTTTCCCGCCTCCAAAGCTAGCACCCTAGCAAGAGCAGTGACTTTTTACTCCTTTTCTTTTACCACAGTAACACAATTTCAACCAGAAACAACGAAGAACGACCTCCACACAACAGCATAACCCTCTGGACTTCAGGACGCTTTCCTGGAAGACGTGGCTCTGGATCCACCCACATATATAACCACAACTAAATTTTACAGTAGCTTGTTGCTGAAAAAAAATCCGCGTTAGGTACGTTCAAAACCACAATTACATGAAGCCCTTCTAAGGAAGCCCCAAATTCCCGGACTTCAATGAGACTCGGACAAGCCATGAGCTACAAGCTACTTATCCAACCATATCCAATGAGACAACCACAGATAAGCAGGCTCCTTTAGAAGTGGATAAGAAGTTGAAGTAGGTGAAGTAAGAATTTTTCCAGCATGCACTTTTGAATAGAAGATGCGATTTCTACATCATCTTAAACCAGCATAAGAGCCCACGGTGCTGCAAGGGACGGTCTCGCCCTTCTCGCTGCCTTTGTGTCTGCACTGACCATCTCGAAGCCATGTGTCAGGTCAGATCAGCTTAGGGACCCAAACAACCTCCAGCCCAGGAATTAAAATAAATAACACTTTCAAACATCAGCAAGCTGATCTGATTGCTGATGAAGGCAGGCCAGAAGGCAAAGCCACATTTTGGGGTGGCATCTGGCAATAACGTGTGCTTGGGCCAATTAAGAAACTATATGTTGAGGTACTTGATATTCTGCTAATCTTGGCCTAGATCCAAAAACAAAAAGGGGAAGATAATTGACAATCATTAACTTCTAAGAATTAGTGCTCATATGTTCACGTCTTCATACTAATTATGCAAAGTACCTTGCTTTACAACAGTCTAGCCTGTCACAACTTAGCAACAGACACGGTGCTGCAAGCCACATATGTTGGCAAATAAAGAGAATATTAACTACTACGCCTTTCTCAATCACAACAAAGCCTTTTTTTTTAAATAATGCCACACAGTATTTTAAATTTCATTTTATGTTGCGACTTTTTTCTGCATCCCTTGTTGCTAGCTGAATTCACTCTGCGCGCTAGCTTCCTTTTCTTGACGTTGTAATCCAGCGGTACTAACGCAGCAACGATATTAGCATTGATCCCTGACTGATTCCCAATTGATTCCCACAGGCTGGCTCACCGTACGTCTGGGATGGCTGCAGCTGTGGTTAACATGCAATTCAGCCGACAAAGGATGTGATTTCACTGCGTTGAGTATGTTTTGCTTCATATTGGCAGATGTTACGCTCCTCCCCCACAAAGGCTAGGCAGGCCTAAAAATCTACACGTGGTGAAGCTTTGAGAAATAACAGTGAATAAGGAGAAAAAAAAAAATATCTGAGACATCCCTGGCAAGCTTGTGCACATCCTCATATTATCAAGGTTCGTCTTCAGGGAATCGCTTGAATAGATTCACGCTCTCTACCTAAGACAGACACTGGTTTTAACATTAAGTACTTGGGTTTAAAATAAATAAATAAAATGGAAAGAGAAAACAGCTTATTTTTTTCCAAACATCACTCCTTGTTAACTTGCTGCTACTAGCATCTGTTTCCAGTCTACCCCCCCCAAAAAAATGAAGTTTATTTTTCACGGGCCCTTTGTCGACCTCACAATTTCTACCAGAACATTATTATTGTCTGCTTATATTAGAGTATGGGATTTCCCACAGTCTGACATTATCGCCATCTTAACACACTTGTGAAAACAGAAACCAGAAGTCAGACTGAGTTAAAGACTCTCAGAATTTCACTAATTTCAAAAGCAGTTTATCTGAAATTTACTGTCTAGCTTGAACAATAACATGCTTTCTCAGTTCTGTTTTGTTTTTTCTTAGCTCACTAAAATAACTCTGTTTTAATGCTTGGCACTCACAAAAGACAATGGCATTCACTCACCTTAAAATACATTACAATTGTCCAAGTATTTTCAAAATTTCTCTACGCTGAACATAGGGACCTTGACCATAAATAGGAGATCTAGCACCTTTAAAAACATTTAGCATATTTGCTCCTTACTGTTGCTAAACATTAAAACTGGACATAAAGGAAGACATTTCAACTCTGTGTGCATTTTCCAGGATCAAATTCCTTGCTTCTTGACTTCAAATGGACAGTAATACTCAATTCTGTAATTCAGAGACCTCAAAGCACATAGGAACAAGCATGACTCTGTCCTTACTAAACATTTGGGACTACCTGATGCTGTCTGGAAACTACAAGCTTGTTCAGGGTCTTTGGCACTTCAGGACAGCTGAATAGTAGCACTATTTATTAAGAGTGCACATCAATATTCATACTGGTATTTTCCACAACCTCACTGGATAGCGCAGCCCTTCGGCATACTTGTTTACTGTAAGCAACTCACAGATCGGACCTCAATATCAGCTAACGGGCTGGAAATTAAGTTCTTCCATGGGTGCAATCAAATGATGGGTTGCCCTTCACCTAGATACACGTCCATGCCGGTCAGGCCTGCAGCCTCGATGCATTCTCTGTTTAACAGGCCGATTTCTGAACACCAGGTCTGTATTTTCACTTTCTTGAATTGCAGCATTTTATCAAGGATGCCAACTAATCCCTCTCAAAACACATTATCACCCAAGAAAAATGACAGTATTTGAAGAAGTAGAAAAGACTAGCAACTTGAGTGTAATTATTCTGCCATCAGTCAATCTCTGATCAGAAAGACAAGCGTCTGGCACTTCAGCAGAAATCAGAAGTGAAGCTCCAGTGCCTTCAGACTAAATTTATTTTCAGAGCCCATTACTGGTCCCCAACCATTGCAGCCACTTGGCCACAAGGCACGAAGCCCGATGCTTTGCCATCAGCTCAAGCTGAACGATGCCAAAGAGGTAACTTCGGCTGAAGCTTCTCAGGCAGCTGAGTTAATGCAATAGCTCTGCTCCTCTCCTTGGTAACCTTTCCTTCCCAAACACTTACTCTTCTACCTTTCTACTCCTACCGAGCATATAGTCCCACATCCCTCTTAACTTTGGCCACAGCCTAGCGCTCAACAGACCCTAAGGCACCTTACTTCTCTGACACGGTAGAAAACCATCCACGCTCAAGGCAAGGGGTTTGTTTCTCTGGTTTTTCCCCCCTGTACTTCGGTAAGTTCAATTAGCTGGCTCTTTGCATAGCTAAAATACAGTGCACTCCTTAAAACAAAAATGCGGTGAAACTGTGCTATTACAAAATCCTGAACCTCGGCATAATTACATCAGGAACGCACGAATACAAACCGTTAATCTTTCAACCCAGACATGTCCCCTGCTAAAACTGGTTGGGAAACCACAACAACACTTTTGTCCCTGCAACACCAGGCTCCCGAACACCCCACCAACTGCTCCTCTTAAGCCGTAGGAAAAAAAGCCACATACTTAACCACTACGTGATTAAAACCAGAATGGTTTAGAGGATGATAACGTTAGGCATATAGGCAGAGACAACATAAAAATTAACCCAAGTACTCATTTTGTATTTCCCCACATAGACACACGGCGACATCTGTATTATGTTACCAACACGAGTAATTAATAATGAGGATTTACCTACTCTATTTTACATAAAGGTAATGCAAAATTGGGTGGGTCCAGAGCCCTACCAAATAGAACAAATTTACACGGATTTTAGATGGTAATATTTAACAAAAGCATTTAATAGAAATACTGTTCAGAAATGCATGTATTCTTAGCGCCACTAAATACAGACACATGAAACATGACATCACCTTCCAAAAAGGCATACTCTTTTTTGGGCAACGCTCATCTCTTAGCTAAGGGATATTTTTTTTTATTATTATTATTATTTACAAAACTATTCTTTACTTGCTTTTGTTGTTACAATGCTGAGGGTTGCCGTGGTAAACACCACCTCCCAACACACCATATGGCAGACAAAACTCTGAAGTACGTGGAAGAACTCCAAGAATTATCTCTGGTCGTTTCTCTATTCTTTATATAGTCTTCAGAATTTTTCCATTCCTGTTTGGGACTCGGGGGCAGGGGGAGGAGAGTAACGGATTGTTTTGTTTTAAGTTATTTTTATTAACTGCCGGGTATAACAGTGGCCTCCCTGCCTCCATCTGGCCTGAAAAAAAAAAAAAACTGCACAAGAACGAATGTTGAGGAGGAAAAAAATTAACGGCTGACATGCCTCCTACAAACACGCCAAATTACAGCTGCTGTCTGGATCTCCCAGTGGAGCTCAAAAGCTTGCAGATGTTCACAGAGAGTCTGAATGTTCTCATGACAACTCTAAAACAAGATCTCAGATTACAAAAATCACTCATAAAGAGAGAGCCTCGAGTGGAAACCATTTTCTCCTTCAGCTCTTTTTTTACCTTCTTGGTATTTTGTTACTGATCATGAATTTTTACATACTTTCCAGCTATAAACAAATACTAAGCTCTTTCTAAACAAATAAGATAAATTTATCCAGTGAAAAAAATTATTTGAAAAGGTCACTTTTCCCTCCCTTTTATGACCAATTCAATTTCTAACTACAGGCAGAGAGGGAACATAAGCATGGCTGTTTTGTGATGGTTATGTACAGCAAGCAAACAGAACGACCTCCATTTCTCTCTCACAGTGCAGAATTTCTCATTTTACAGGCACATTGTCTGAAAAGTGAAAATGCTTTTATTCCCTCCTTGTACAAAATATAAAAAACTTATTTTCTTTTAATTGAAAACCCACAGCAAACACAGACCCACTTGAACACCCAGGTAGCTTGGCAACTGTTTGTCTGCAAGTTACATGCAATCCTGCAATTTACGTCCAACATCCCAGTTACTCTATTATCTGACTTCACACTGGTGAATACTTCCATGTATTGTGCTACAACTATTGAAAGCATCAAGCACTTCGGTTCCTGGGCTGTTCTTTGTGATATTATAGAACAGAATCGTAGAATCATTTAGGTTGGAAAAGATTCTTAAGATCATCGAGTCCAACTGTAAACCTAGCACTGCCAACCCCACCACTAAACCCTGTCCCTGAGCACCACACCTACACGTTTTTGAAATACCTCCAGGGATGGAGACTCCACCACTTCCCTGGGCAGCCTCTTCCAGTGCCTGACAACCCTTTTGGTGAACAGTGCTGGACAACCCTTTGGGTGAAGTAGTTCTTCCGAATATCCAATCTGAACCTCCCCTGGTGCAACTTGAGGCCATTTGCTCTACTTAGCCACCTCAGATAATACACTGTAGCCTCACACACACAGGCACACCTTAAGTCTTTAAAAGGAAACAGAGCTCTAGCAACCTAACGATACCTGAGCTGACACCCGAGCTCCCACAGAACCAAGGCTATCATCTGACACGTCCCCACGCCCCATCTCTCGCCAAGCCCCCATATTTCTCAAGCTCAGAAAACGTCATTGCCTTCATACCCTCAAGCAGTTCTCCGCAAACCGCCCTGCAGGTGCCCACACACATACACAATCTCCTTTCTCTCCATAATCCCTCAACCCCTCCCAAATCTCTGCTATCCCCACCCTAACTCGCCTTTCCTACCTTTCACGAGCCCTTTTTCCCTACTTCCAAGGTAGCCTCACACCCACCTCCTCCCAAACCAGACCCAGGCTTAGCCCTCCCACAGCAACACTACCCCAAG